GGGGGGTTCAAAACCTGCCTTGCCCTCCCCTCTCCCCTGCGCAGCCGTAAAAAGAGGACGGTGTGTGTGTGAGGGGGGCGGTGTTGGCGGCAGTTGTTGCTCACTGGGCAAAGATTTTCAGGCTCCTAATCTTTCAGTGGGGCTTTTATACGTTCCTGAACTGTTTCGGCACAGAAATAACATCGGTTTGAATCCGAGTCGTCTTATGTGCCACACACGGAGAAAAAGAAAACGACGATTTTAAGACAAGCGGCCGCGTCTGCTGCCCACATCGTGTTAAGCCACGGTTGCTTTAATCACATAGGGCTCCGACGATAAGCCACGGAGGAAAAAGCTGCCCAAATAAGAGTTTTCATTTAGTAAAAATACAAATCAGACGAATGGCGTTTCAGTCCTTTTTAGTACTTTGGAGGGGGCGGGCAGCACCGGACTAACGTCCTCCGGGTGTCTCAAGTCACACGGACGGCTCTTCTTGTTTCCGGATGTCTGCTGACACCAGTAGGCTTGCCAGCCCAGTCCAGAAGGGGAGTTTCCCCCCTCGCCCCCCCACCTTCCAGCGTTACATAAAAGCGAAGGTTTTATAGGCTCCACGTCCTCCCGCCTTAGTTTTCACTAGCAATCTTGCAAAAAAAAATAATTTATACGTTGTCCAGAAGTTCTGAAGTACATTGACGTTGGAATGAAAAAAAAAAAATCGACAACGTCCCGCTGCGCGTGCTCCGCTCCCGCGCTTTCCAAGGTAAAAACAGCCCGTTTCTTCCTTAATCACCGCCTGAAAGCGCCGTGGAAAAGGATAAAGGCAATTGAGCACCTTCGGCAACGGCCGCCCCACTCTGTGCTCCCCCTCGCCCCAACGGGCAATTGGGGACTTCGGCTTGAAAAGAGTCCTTTTTCCGGCAGTTCCCGCTTCCTTCCCTCCCGGCTCCCGCCATTTGAAATAATTTACGGTACTTCTTGCAGGAGCCAGATTCGGACTAGCGCCTTTAATAGGAGAGGGCTGCCTCAGGCAGGGCTGCTGGCTTCTAACAGCCCCTCTCCAAGCTGCTAGAAGTCGAGTTAACCTGCTGAAGTGCAACCCTCCCAAAAAAATCTGCCAACCCTCAAAGACGGGTTGAAATTGCCAGATCTCTCGATTCCCGTCTCCCGATCGATCCGTTTTGCCTCGGATGGCCGAAAGGAAAGTTGGTTCGGGCGCCCCTGCCGGCAATGCGCGCGCCGGAGAGTGGCACGCGCTGCGCTCGTTCCGCCCCGTTGATTTACTTTTGCCTATGTGCGCCGCTTTGGTACGGGTTATGTGGCAATGCTGTCCCCTACCGGCGATGAGGCCAAATACAACTTATTAGACTCTGCCTTCGCCTGCTGAGGGCTGGAGGTTATTCTCCCCCGAGCTTGGCCTCCTTCGAGTGAGGGATGGTTTTGCCGCTCAAAAAAAAAAAAAAAACATCCGAGGGACACCGATTCCTTGACAAACAATTCTGCCCCTAAGCGATGTTATCCTTTATTTTTCAACTCATCTAAATGAAGAAAAACTT